TAATTTAATTAAAATTTGTTCTGCCTCTACCTAAATATTTACCTTCATTTGTAGGATCATAATGTTCAAGATTGTTGTCGTTGGGATCATAGTGTTCTAAAATGTTTACTGGTTCTTCTTTATTCTCTGTTAAAAGTTTTCCTGCTGTTATTAACTTAAATATGCAACTAAATAGAATCATTGTTTATGAAAAGATATTTTGTTTTATAAGAGTTTGTTTTGTTTCAAAATGCTTGTTAAAACCGTTTTTAATATAATTTACTATTATCATATAAAATATAATTTATACTTAAAATTTTCTAAATATTAAATAAAATTTAAAGTTTAGTTAAAATAATCAATTTTGGAAATTAAGTATGATGATTAATAAAATTTTATAAAGAATTTTTGCTTAGAAAAATAATGGATAAAAACACAAAGATAAATGAAAATTTAAAATTGAATGACAATCCATTTGAAGAACAGAAATACTTGAAGGTAGACAGTACTATAGAAGATAAAACAAAGAAAGTTAAAAAATCATCAATTTCATTGAATTCTCTTAAAAAAACATCATCTAACAAAAAGAAAACTGTTAAAAAACAACTTCTTCCATTTGATATCTTTGAGAACATCACTATCTTATCTAAATATGATTTGACATTTAGTGATATTAAGTACTATACGAGTCCTCTCTGTCAAAATATAAAAAATGATGATTCTATTAAAAATGAAGGTTCTATTAAAAATGATGATTCTATTAAAAATGAAGGTTCTGAAATTTATAAAATTCACTATAAAGCTTTTTTGACTTCACTTAGATCAGTTTTTCTAAACTATAAAAAATTTAATGAATTTTTTGTTATAAAAATTAGTGATGGTAGTTTAATATACTTTTATGAAAATAAAATACTGGCAACTAATAAAGTATCTAAGCTATTAAAGTCTAATGACATAGCATTTATAAAAACAAAAGATTACTTGGTTATTAATGATAATATAAACATAGTAATGGATATGATAAGTAATGTTGATTTTGAAACAATTCCTTACATACTTTCATACACTGAATTTGAATATTCAACTGTGAGGTATACTAAGATTGAATTATCTAAAGTTGTTAAAAGTTTGAATGAAAAAGAATTTTATTATGAAATCAGTGGAATAGTATATTTTGGAGATTCAAAATTTTACAGTAACATTAAAGAATTAAAAGATGAATGTAAAGTAACAATTAAAACAGGTATTAAAATAAATTACACCTAAATATTATTTATTGCCTTCTTATACTTCTTACTCTATTTTTATTGCATTTATTAAGACAGGCATTTGAACATAGTGACTTTTCAACTACAAATTCACTTTCAGGATCTATAAAGCTTTTAACATAAAGATAAAATGGCTCAGAAACAAATCCTGATCCACAGAAGTCACATATATTTCTATGATTATACATTTTATCAATCCAAGGATCCAGTGAATTACTTCTCTTAAGAATTTTAGAAATGCATATTTCTGTCAGTGATAAGTTAATTGGCTTTTTTGATTCTCCCAGACTGTATGGATTTCCTCCCAACCTTACATTTGCATATTGTTCAAATATCTTAAAGAATTTAAATGGAATGTACTTAAGATTATTCTCGCTTATATCAATCATCAATATTTTACTGGTAAGTTTATGATTTAAAAGTGATGATTCTATAGATGAGATCAAATTACACCTAAGATTTAAGTATCTTAACTTTTTGGATTCTAGTGCCTCAAATGGAAATTGATCTAATTGATTATCAGAAAAGTCTAATTTCTCAATACTTGGTAGACTAAATACCGATGGGTGAATCTTAGTTATTTTGTTCTTAAATGCTGGAAATATTCTTAACTGAGTCAACTTATTCATACAGGGGATCTCTTGAATCTCATTCATTCCTAATCCAAGTTCTTCAAGTTTAGTGAGATTATTTATTTCTGGAGGAATACTTCTTATTTTGTTATTTGATAAATTGAGCCAGTTAAGATTTGTTAATGTCATCATTTCAGCCGGAATTTCTCTTATTTTATTATTTGACAGATCAATTTTCACTAAATTATGTAAAAATCTTATATTTGGTGAGATGCGTGTAATTCTATTAGAAAAAAATCCAAATTTTCTTAAATTTGTTAAGAAATAAACAGGCTCAGGTATTTCCTCAAAATCATTCTCAGATAATCCCAATCCAGTAATTTTTTGTAAATTTGCAAATTCTCTTGGAAGACTTTTTAATTTGTTTCTAGTTAAATCAATCCAATTAATTAGTATGCAACTGCCAATCTTCTTGTCAATATTTTCAATTCTATTGTCATTTAATGCCAGTCTTGTTAGCAAACTCAAATTTTGAATCCTATCATCAATTTCTGTTATTCTATTATCACTCAATATGATCCAATTAGTGTCAGGTTCTATAGCTTCATATGGTACTTGAGATAATCCCTTTTTAGATAGGTCGATGCTAGATATTCTCATATGTATTGTTTTGGTAATTTTCTATTTAAATTTATGTTTCATATTGTTTATTTAGAAAACTAACTTTAAAATAACTATAAATGATTATAAAATTTAATATTACAGAAAAGGAAATTGATCAATAGAATTACCCAATAATATTTTTCAATGATACCCAATAAGAATCTGAAATTAACTGTTTGAAGATATAAGAAAATTAAAATAGGGGTGAATAATTATGGGAGCATTTTGTAGTTTTCCAATGAAGAAAATGGTTATAGGCAATGCTAATAGATTCACACCGACCCTTCTTAGAAGATATAATGTTATAGATCACTTAATGAACTATGAATGTAAAGATAAAAATGATGAGAAGTTAATTCTATTAAATTATTATCTAAACAAGTACAAAAGAGATATTGAAATGAATATTGAAAAAAAACCGCACCCACACACAATCTCTTATGATAAATTACCAACCGATAAAAAAATAAATATATGCATAAAGACAGATGATCATGTTACACCGGTTTCTATTGACTTTAGTAATGAAGATAAACATTTATATCTCTGTAGACACTATTTAGTTGAATTAAATGAAAACATAGGAACATTAAAACATTTAGAGATAGTACAAGTTTGTTGTAATTATCTTTCATCTATTCCAGTCAGTATCAAACATCTTTATAACTTAAAAGTTTTAGTTCTATCAAAGAATAGATTGACTGAAATACCTAAAGATATTGGATGGTGTAGTAATTTAAGAGAGTTAGATGTATCAAGGAATATGATAAAAACACTACCAAAATCACTAATAGCCCTCAAGTATTTATCCCTGTTACATATCCAACATAATGAGTTTGAGGAACTACCATCTTTTATAGGATCATTAACATCTCTTAAAATATTGAATATAAGCAATAACAAACTAACACACATTCATTTTAATATACTTAAACTACCATTTTTAAACACATTAACATACTCAGGTAATAAATTTGACTATTCATTTAAATCAAGTATAACAGAAGTAGGTAAATTAACCTTAAAAGAAACAACTGCTAGAGAAATAATAAGATATTGTCAGTCAATCGAAAGGAATATATGTAAAACAACCAGAAAGTATTTATTATCGGTAAATGAGTGTTCATTCTGTAAAGGACCATATTTTGATCACTACTTTGTAATAAAGTCTTATCATGAACATGAGGGTAATATAGTTCCTATTAAGTATGAAATGTGTATTAAACATTACAAAGATCACAAAGAAAGATTAAGAACATTATTTACATTTATGGATCACACAGGACCAATAGGATTAGCTAAATTTGATATTAACTCAGTTATTGAACTATTTGAACCAATGTGTTTTGATAACAAACAAAAGTTATTTCTCACCCAAGATTATAACGAGAATGTAAAAAGACTTCCTTTAATTTGTCTTTCAGCATGGGATACAATTTTAGATCAGAATAGTACTAATAAATCGTTAAGTAACAATGTTAAAGAAAGTGAAACTGATAAATTATTTGAGTTTATTAAAAAAAAATAAATTTGTAAATAAAAGATTTATAAATCTTGTTCTGCCCACTCCTCATCTAATTCATCAAGTTCTTTGATCTTTTCTTGTAATGATTTATCTTTTGATTTAAATGATTTTTTTAAAAACCCAGTTACTTTAGAAATTCCCCACTCTTTATTCTCTAACAACTGTTTGTTGTTTTTAAGATCTTTAACTATACTTTCTACTAAAAAGAAACATTTGTCTTGATATTCTTTTTCACTGAGTCTTGAACATAACAATGGTAATAATTCTGAACATAACTTATATTTATCAAAATCTTGATAATAAACCTCTAAGCAGTCATAAACTGTTACAGTTGCTACTTTTAATTTTAAGAATGTAAAGATCATTTTATAAAGATGTTTAGGATGTGATAACTTATTTTCAATAAAATGATTACAAATTTTTTCTATTGATGATTGATCAGTTATGACAGCTGTGATTAAATCAATCAGTTCATTTAATGATTTTTTACTAAATTTATTTCTGTTTTTAAATATAAACGTAAGTGTTTCCGCTCTCAATTCTTTGTCTTTAACTCTAATCCCAAGTGCCAAATCATCCACACAACTTTCTAATGATTTTTCTGATTTAATGTCTTTTAATAAAAACAAACGAACATTCGAATCAAGAATTTTAAAAAATTGTGAATAATACTCAGTAAATAATAATGGATCAAGTTCCTTAAGAAATGTCATAATGATTAGTTTATATTCCTTTGTGTGTTCCGTTTTAAGCTCACTTAATAATAAATTAAATATGTTCTTTATTATAAACTCATTTAATATCTCTTTGTTTTCATTAATTAATTCCAAAAACATAACCTTTTCATCTTCTAATAAAGAAGAAAAGTTACATAATCTTTCTTCAATTGTTTTAAAAATCTCGGGTATTACAATATTTTGTAAAGGTGTGTTTGTTAAACTCTTTGAAATGTTATCAAGAGCTAAAAAGTCAACAAAGGTGTCTTCTGATTTGATAAAACTAACTGAAAAATAGTTAGCTAAAACAGGATTACCTGCTTCATCAATAAAAAAATCTTCAACTACTAAATTTCTACAAAACATATTGTTTTCATGTAAGAATTCTAATACTTCTTTCATTTTCATTATAAAATACATTTTGTATTGTTTAGAAAGATTACTGATAGATGTTAATGGTACTAACTTCTTTGTGAAAATTGAATGTTGTGTTATTCTATATATCGGTGTTAGATTAATGTGTGATAGAGATTTTAATTTAATTAATATATCTCCAATTTCACCTATATTAACTATCTTACTACTAGATATCTTTATACATTCTTTACCGTTATAATTAGTTTTATATAAAATCAAATTATTTAATGAAAACTCTATTTTATCACTTCTATTAAAAATATTTTTCATCATTTTATTGTTTTTATGGGTTAGAATTTTATTAAAATTATAAGTTATGTTGTTTTATCTTAAATTTAAATTATAAATAAAATTTATTAAAAGAATTAATTAAGCAATGATTAAAAATTAGTTAGAATTTATTAAAATACTTTTAAATTTTTTACCCTCAAATTATGGTACTCGAACAAACTTTTATTATTTGTAAACCAGAAGCGGTTAAAAGAAGATTAGTTGGTGAAATTATTTCTAGATTTGAAAGAAAAGGATTGTATATTAACAATATTAAATTCTTTAAACCAACTAAAGAACAGGTTGAAAATCACTATGAAGAACATAGAGATAAACCATTCTTTGATAAGATTGTAAAATCTGTCTCTTCTGGTTTTGTTTGTGCTTTTGTTTTGGAGGGTAATAATGCTGTTAGTGTTGCTCGTACTCTTATTGGTGAGACTAATCCTGTTAAATCATGTCCTGGTTCTATTAGAGGTGATTTTGGTTTAAACACCGGTAAAAATCTTATTCATGGTGCTGATTCAGTTGAAAGTGCTAAAAGAGAAATTAAAATCTTTATGGGTGAACTTAATAAAATTGAATACTTTGATGAAGATTTGATTTATGAATAAAATTTTTTATCTATAAATTTTTAAATGGGAGTAAAGAATCTTTGGAAGATTGTAAATAATTTTGGTAATGAAGTTAATCAATTACAAAATAAAAAGTTAGCCGTAGATACTTCTATATGGATACACCAAATATTGAATTCATATATAGTTGATGATAATTCTACTGCTAACATCTACTCATTTTTTATTAAGAGAATAATTAGACTACTTTATAACAATATAGATCCTATTTTTATTTTTGATGGATCATTTCCTGAATTGAAAAAGAATACTATACGTGAAAGAAAAGAAGCTAATCAAAAAATTGAAGAAGCTAAAATACTTCAAGGTATCAAGGAAAATAAAAAGTGTATTATTTGTAATAAAAAATTAAGAATTTGTGAACATGGTAGTCAGATTAGGAAAGATATTCTTGATAAGGTAGATGTTGATGCAGAAATTAAAATGGAAACACATGATTATAATTGGGGTGAAGTATCTGAAGAATTTGATAATGTATTTGATGATAGAGATTTGATTTTAAATAACCAAATTGATTTAAAATTTAATATAAATGAGTTGAATACTCAACATAAGAAAGTTCAAAAGTTGATTAATTTTAGAAAAAGAAGGAAAGCTGAAATGTTTATAGATGAAACAAATGAAGAAACACTCATAGAAAGTCAAATTAAAAACGTTACTAATAGAAGTCAAGTTAGTCATTTAATTAGAGAAATTAATAAAGATACAGGAAGAGTACAAAGTGATTGTACAGTATATGCAGAATTAAAAAAGATTAAAGTTGATAAGAAGAACGAAATTTCTAATGTTTATAATGAAAGTAAAAGTGTGAAAATTGATGAAGTAAAAAATTTTAATAAAAAGTATAAAAATATAACTGAAAAATATAAGAAAAAAACTGATTTTATTGAAAGTACACAAAATAATGGAATTAGTGTAATAAATAAAAATGATGATGAATTAAATGATGAATTAAAAGAATATTTAGCTAAAAAGTATAAAAATGAAGGTTATTTAGAAGATGAAACTATTTTAAATGAAAACAGTGATTTGCCATCGGAAATGGAAGGAGTTCAAAGGAAATTAAGACACCTTCTTAAACTTCTTAATATTCGTTATATTAACTCTCCTTATGAAGCTGATAGTCAATGTGCTAAACTTTATAGATTGGGTGTTGTTGATGGTGTTATTTCTGAAGATAGTGATCTTCTTTTATATGGTGTTAAGGTTTATAAAAATTTATTCTCTAAGAAAACCCAAATAAAGGAATTTAATTTAGATGAAATATTAGAAGGATTGACTATTGATTATGAGAAATTTATTTTTATTAGTTTATTTCTTGGATCTGATTATTGTGATGGAGTAAAAAATATAGGTCCTGTTAGAGCTATGTCGTTACTAAAAAACAATTCAATTAGAAAATTATTAATTGATTATGATTTGGATGAAAGTTTATTTAGGGAAATTAAAAATATTTATGCTAATCCCACTGGAAAGAAAATTGATGGATTTGAAAACGGTATGTTTGATTTAGACAAACTAGTAAAATTTTTAAATGATGAAGATGTAAATGATATTGAAATGTTTATTTATCATTTGTCGAAAATAAATAAAACTATTTAATCCTCATTTCTTTTATAAACATATCTTGTGATAAGAAACGTTATTAATATTGTTAAAAGAATTATACCCAATAAACCAGATGAAAATATAATAATAAATATTATTCCATATTTAACAATATTATTTAACCAACTACTTATCATTATTAAAATATAATAATACCAAAACTCTAATCTATCTTTCAAAATGTCAAGATTTTTATTAATATCATCTTTTAATTCTTTTAAAACGATTTTCAAATCTTCTTTGTCGTTTTTTTCAGACATAAATGAAATCAAAAGATCAAATTTATAGATTGTTTCAGAAAATAAATAATAATTTATTAATTCTCATCATCGTTTGAATTTTGATAACAACTTTTTGTAATAAAAAAGGTAATAAGAACTGTAATCAAAATTATAAGAAATATTCCTGTTGAAAATCCAATAACTGCAATTATACCATATTTTATTAGTAAATCTATTAAATAACTTAACCAAATTAAAAGATTGGCTACTAATGTTTGGCCTATTTCTTTAAGATAATCAATTGCTTCTTGTATTTCTTCTAATAATTTTTTTCGCAAATCTTCTAATTTTTCACTATCTACCATAAAGTAATATTTTGTAAATTATTTGTAAAGGATTGTTTTTATTTATATGTTTTAGTAACAGCTTTCATATTAAAAAATAAATCATATTATTTTAATTTCCTTATTTGTAAAATTATTTTTATTTAAATAATTTAAAAATCTTTGTTAGTTAATAATTAAGAAATTAAATAGTGATTGTTTAAGAGGTTTATATAAAAAATCGATTAAATTTTTTATTATTAATTTGTATAATTTTACAAAAAATTTTTTTAATTTTATTTACAAAAATATAATTAGTTTTGAAAATTCTAATATAAAACAAATACTTAACAAAAATAATCAAAGTTTTTTGTATTCTTTTTTAATCAAATATTTTATAAATAAGATAAAAATTTTACTCAAATTCTCATTTAAAATTATTTTGAACCCGTTGATTTTGTTTCTATAAAAAAAATACTAAATATTGAAATTAAAAAAGAGTTTTAACAAAAAAAATTTTTAATTAACTGTGTTTTATCAAACAAAATATAATTTTGCAAAAATTCTTTAAAAATTGATTTATGGTTGAAATAATCAATAGTAATTTATAAAAAAATAAAAATAAAAAAAACAGTTTATCATAGAATTTATTAAACATTATTGTTAACAGAAGTTTCTGTTAACTTAATTAAATCTATGATTAATTAAGAAAATATTTTTAACCTTTAATTTTTATAAAAAAATTGATGATAAACAGAATATTTTATTAAAAGATAATACATATGATCAAATATTTGATAATGAATTTGATAGCTGGATAAAGTTTTTAAAGAACTAGAACAATAATTAGTTAATAATTATTTTTTATTTAAATATATTATTTAATTCAATTTGTAAAGAAAAAATAAAAGTTTTTTTTAATAAAGAAGGATGTCATTATTAAACCTAAAAAATTTCTGTTAAAATATTTAATAGTAATTATAAACAAAAAAAGTTGTTTATTAAATATCAGAAATTAATATTATATTAACATACAATGTTTTTACCACTTTTAATTAAAAAAAATCATTAAGTTGTGCAATTATCATTTCCTTTAAAAAAAATTAAAGCTCAATAAATAATAATAATTTTAACTAATATGATAATAAATAGTTAATTTTTAACTAAATGGTTATTTACATATTATATTTCACAATTAGAGTATTTTATGTTAATTAAAATTAGATAAGTTCAAAGTAATAAATTTCTAGATAAAGATTGAAAACATTATAAACTTAATCTTTTGCAATAAAACTTATATTTGATTTATAAACTTTTGATATTTTTACTGATTATGAGACAAACAATAAATTAATAAAATAAAATTTAAACCGTTTTTAAATTTATCTTGATTATTGTTTAAAAAAACTTAAAAACAGTTGAGTTTTTATTAAATTTGTTTAACAACAATAATAACGATAATCAAAATTTAGATTTCACATTATAAATTATGTATTGTTATTAATAAAAAATCTATTGATAAAAATGCTATTTAAATTTATAATATAATTTTACAATTAAAACTGTTTTAGAAATTTTTTATAAACATTACGGTTTATTAAAAAATCTATTATATTTAAATAAACACATTAAGTAAATGATTTATTATATTAAGATTACTTTCCACTATAAAATATAAAAGTAAATACTATAAAGAGTTTTTTTACACTTCTCAAATTTATAAAACAAACTTATTTTTTAATAATATAAAAAGGTAAATATTATATATAAAAGATACTTACCTTTTAAATATAAAAGAAATCTTTAAAATTTTGATAATTGAATTTATTTATTATTTTGTGCTTCTATTTCCTTTTTCAACCTCTCTTCTTTAATTTGTTTTAACATTTGAAGATCTTCAGCTGAAAATTCATTATGGTCTATTATAACAGTACTTTGTTTAGTACTAACCATAAAAATAAGTAGAATGGATAACAGTATTATTATAAAAATTAGAAACACCACTGTATTAAATGCTTCTTTTATAGAATTAAAAAAATCACCTATCACTCCCATCTGTTTTTTATTTATTTATCAATCCTTAAATAAATTATCTTGAAACAAATATAAACATCATTAAATCAAATTAACAAATTTTGATTTTTACATTTAAAATACTTTAAAGATACTTTTTTAATATAAAGTATAAACAATTGTTATATTTTATAAACAATAACAATTCTGTTGAAATTAAAATCATAAATTTTTTTATTTTAAATAAATTCTTTATATAGAAATTTACAAAGTTTATTTTAAATATATTTAAAATTAAAGTAATTAAGTATTTATTTTATATAAAGATAATAAATAATTTAATTTAAATTTTTTAATAAAAGTATAATAATTTAAATTAAATTATTTAATAATTTACTTACCAAAATAAAAATTTAATTAAGAATAAACAACAAAGTATAATTTTATTATTATGATATCATAAATAGATTAAATAAATTAAACAATAAAAAACTTATTAAAATTTAATTTAAATAAAAAATTTCTAGCCCTCAAATTTATTCAATGAGAAAATCATATAAA